ACATCGAACAGCAACAGCAACAGCACGTTCGTGGTCTTGACTTTGGGGCTGAGGCTGCGACTCTGTCGCCGCACGTACAACAACCATCTTACATAGCCGCCGATTAGCCAAGGTAACAAACGAAGAACTGGCCCAGACCCGGCTCAGATCCAAAATGAGCTATCTCACTGCGCAAATCTTTCACTTCTTCGTCGTCGTCGTCTCTGTCGTCGTCGTAGTCGTTGTTGTCGCTGGCTTTTAAGGGCCTTGCAGGCCTCCAAGCCTGCCATTTATCGCAAATGCATTGTGGCAGGCCTCCACTTCACTGCTCTTCGCTGCTCTTCACTCCACTCTACTCCACTCCACTCCAATCCCCTCCGATCCATTCCTCTTGAGTGCGCCAGAAAGGCTTGGCTCGGCTTTTGTTTCATGCTCCATGGCTAATGGCACGCAGGCTCCACAGGTTGCTGCTGTCGAGTGTTGTTGCAACATGCTGTTGTCGACGGGCGCCCTGCACTCCAAGGTCCAAAGGCAAACTCAAGCCCAGTACCCACACAGAGAGAAATAATGAGCAATGAGGGGGTTTTTTTTTCCGGTGCTTATCTGCAACCTATTTCTTATCGCAAGAGTTATTTTTTGTTAGCATGCTAAAATATTTTTTGCATATTTTTGTATATATTCACAATCGAAAATTCCGTTTTTATCATTTATTTTTGAGAAAGAACATATTTTTTTTCCACTCTTCCTTGACTAATGGCTACTAAAATGCATTTAAAATCAATATTATGAAAATGTAAAAAAGATATTGCAGTAATTTCTCTGCGTGAAGCACACGTGTGCATGGCTAAAACGTCCGTTTCTCGGCTTCTCTCCGCGCTTATCGCCACCAGATTCTCTCTTTCTCCGTAGGTGCCTTCGCTTATCTGACCGGAGTGGCATTCACTTCGTGCTTTATGCCCGGATTAAATTTAGCAAATCGAAGCGATGCGCTAATTGAACTTGTTGCTGTCCGCTCCCAAAATGCCCGCCCAACAATGTGGCGATGGCCTACCATAATTTACATTTAGCGGCACAAGCCACACATTGCAAATATTATGGACAGACTCGACTAAAATATTTTCGTGGGTATTTATAAATCGGGCGGGAGTACTCATACTCATACTCGCACTCGTACTCATACTCATACTCGGACCCTCACAGATCCGCGTCTCGAGCTGGGGCAAAAGCTCCCCAGCGACTTGGCCGCTCATATTTCACACTTCACGACAAAGCGATTAAAGTCGCGCAAACAATCTGTTATTGGAGTTGTTGCAATTATGTTTACAAAGACATTAAAAAGGAACGAAAGGCGAACGGCGAACGGCGAAATAAAAATACGAGGAACACAGCGAACACAGAGCTAAGCTCAACTCGAAAACTCGAAATCGGTCCAAGAGACGTTGAGGCACTCTTTATTTTGTATTGCTTCTTTTTTCCGGCTTGTTTTTGTGTGTTTTTTGAAACGTGAGTCGTGCACCAACACAGCCCAGCATACGACGGCGACAATCAATAAAAAAAAATCAGTAAAATGCCAGAAAACAAAAAACAAAAACCACAAAATCTTTATGCTAAAACGATGAGATGAAGTCAAAGTTTCTGTGTATTTGCTGGGGGTTAAAGTTAGGGCTGCGCTCGATCTTCCGACCAATTAGCCGCGCTGAGTGGAAGGAATTGGCAGTGGAATAGGCATAGGAATGCTTCTCTGAGCCGGCCCTAAAGAGCCATCAAAGCCAAATGTGCCGCATCATGTTGGGGCCACGGCAATTAGCTTTAATTCTAAGCAGCTTTTCACAGCCATGTGACAAGTTGAATGCTGATGAAGCACAACCGCAGCCGGAATCTGATCGATCTATCATCTGTATCGACGGATTGCCAAGGCAAAAGGGCTGTGCCAAAGGGCCCGGTAATCCAATTACGCGCCTTCAGGTGTTAGGGCTGGCACGCGCTTAAAGTTGGCCAAAATTATGATTGTATTTAAGGCTGCTAAACGGAATCATACTCTCATTTTTCTTCTGTTTGCATATCTTTTTTCTCACAAACATTTGACTAACCCTCTGTTAGTCTGGGGCTTTCTTTTAGATAACTTAATGATTATTTAATTATCGGTTTCTATTTATGGCTTGGCAAAACAAAATGAGACACCAATTTTAACGTATTTTTGGATCACGTCACTATTTTGATTTTGATTGATTTTAATTTATTATTGGAATATTAAATACATGGTTATTTATAATATCTAAGCTCTTTCCAAAAATCTATTAAATTTGAATCAGAATATAATATTCACACATTACATTGCATCGATATTTTATTTGTAAGACGACTTTTGGCCTTTTAGACATTTTCATACCAGATTAATTTAAATCCTCATTAGTTGATTATATCAGATGTGGTTTGGTATAGCATAAGAATTTACAGCCTATAACTAAGGCCTGATTGTATGTTCTGTAGGTCTGTCTTTAATTTTTGTTCACTGCTGAGGACCATGCGCCCATGTGCAACACTTCATAATGCAACAAATTCGTTGCGCCCTAGGGGCTGTAGCATCCCTCTCGGCCTGAGACACTTGAGCGCCTCCTGAGCCGATCTTTTGTTGCTCTTAATCTGCGTGGCACTTGAAAGTAACGCCTCGACTGCGATTCCGACTCTTCGACTCTGTGAGTGCCAGACATCGATGGTGATGATCACGATGACGATGGCGATGGTTGCAATGATTCCGACAACCTGTAGAGCGGCCAGGAATCACTTTAAGGGTCTGGGTCTTAAGGCTTTCTTTTGAAATTGGGGAAACCAGAGGAGATCATAGACAGATGGAGTGCTATAGGATGGGGGAGTTATGTACATACATACATAACATAAAAAACATTTCTCTTCGCATGGCATTTTGTACGCTTCATCAAATGTTTATGAGTGTGGGTCGGGGCATCACGGCATCTCGGCATCTTACACCTTTCGAGCGGCGTTTACCTGTGGATCGGAGTGGTGGTGGCTTGGCGGCTTGGTGGCTTGGCGGAGTGCCCTGAAGTGGTTTCGGAGTTCTGAGATCGTTCTCAACTTGATGTTCGGCTGTCAGTTGCATGCTTCTCGATTTTGACAGATGATTCTGTACGGGTTGGGCACTGGCCTTTGATTGAGGTCTGTGCCAGATAGCTATTAATATGTTTGATTATGGCTACAGATCGGCGTTTTCCCCTCACCCCTCAACCTCCCCGGAAAACTCTTCGAAACGCTTTTTAATTTAAATGTATTTTCATGCTCTGAAACAAAGCGCCGAGCGAGACAATGCAACGCCTCTCGAGAGTCGCAGCGTGGGATTCGAGATTCGAATGCGGCACTGCGGCACTTCTCTCGAGATGGTTGCGCTTTCCAAGTGCACCTTTTGTCCCCGGTTATTTATTTGTGTTATGCCAAAGCGAAAAGGTCAAAACGGTTTTACCTGTCTGCTTAAAAACAGTGTCCTTTTGGCCCGATCCCGATCCTGACCCCGATTCCGATCCCGCAGAGCACATGGCGCAGGCGTAGAAACCCCGATTGCTTGTGGGTTGGGAACAGGTGAAGAGGCCTCCGAAATCTCGGATCTGCCCTAACAATGTTGACAACGCTCGAACAGCAATCTTTTTGCCAAATGACAATCCATGGCCCACGCAGGCTCAACTCACAGATACAGATACAGATGCGGGCGCAGATACAGATGCAAAACTGCCGAGATCTTGTGTGCTTATATGGCAGCATTGCCCACATATACACACATATTGCCAGGTGAGAGAGACAGAGAGAGAGAGATCGTTTTACCTGAGCATTTTCGAATTCGCCGCAAGTTGGCTGCAACAACAAGCGACACTTAACAGCAGAACCTCCAACAACAACAACAATAGTGCCAAGAAATTGGGATATACACAAGATCTTACCTGTGAGAGCGACCTGCAATCGATGCGAATCTTAAATGCCCTGCACATCTGTCGGAGTTAAGATGCTGCCGGATAATCCCCGCATTAATTTTGCCGTTGCTATAGGGTGTTGAGTATTTCGGGGGAGGGGAAAATCAGGAGATTATTTTTCAAGTACCTACCTATGTAACAAAACACTTTTTCTAAAGCAACAAAAAAATACTTACAGTCACCAGGCGCCTGTTTAATGCCCACTTTTTATTTTTTAGCCCTAAGGCAATACTAACCAATTTTCTTCGAGCTTGGTTCTAAGTCTTAGGACTACATATTTTCCAATATTTATTTATAATTTTACTGTTTCTCCTGGCTATTAATGTTTTCCGAAAAGTAAAAATTTATGTAAATTAAAAAAAGTAAAGAAACTAAAAGTTTACTTATTTAAAAGAATTTTTAGATTAAGGTATGAAGGGATTAAACATTTGTAGCAGCGGCATAACCTTCTTACAAATATACAAATAGTTGTCTTAATAAAAACCTATGAGTTAGGTGGTAGTTTCAAAAGGAGTAATATTTGATTAAAATATAGATATTTTTAAAAATTCTTCGGATTTAGGAATATCTCAAGTTGGTATGCCGTTATATAATCAGATTCTGGTGCATTTTGCCAGTTCCCATGCTATGTAGAGCATTCGTTGGCCAGGGGAGATTGCCCAATATATCTTGCCGTATCGTTTCGCATTACGCTGACTTTTTAAAACGCTGCTACGTTTACGATTACCTGTAGATGCCCCGCTGCCAGTGCGAGTGGGAGGGGGATATATGGCTATGGTGAGGGAGCGAGAGGGGGCGAGGAGAGCGGTCTGCAGCTGTGCCGTACCGCCTTACCGTATTGCCTATTGTGAGAGCCAGAGTTTCTGGCTTTGCTTTTATTTTGACCTGATCTACGCTTGAGATTTCGCCTGCCAGCCGCTCACCTTTCCGTATTTTTACCTGTGTGCGCGCTCTTCGCCGAAAGAGAGAGAGAGAGAGAGAGGGAGCGAAGCAACAAAGAGAAGTACAGGGAGAGAGGGTGTCTGTGTTTGGGCTTCGCTTTTGGTTTCAGTCCCGAGTACAACTTGTTGCTGCGCAGACGCGAATCGCTCATCCGCACGGAGTGTCCGAGTTCGAGTTCGAGACCGAGTCCTCTGCCAATATATCTTTGCTCTCGATCGCGGCGATTGCTAATTCGGCCATTGTGCTAATCGAAATACCGAGAAATCGCAATCCCCAAAAGTCGCAACTCTGGTGTAAAACAAGTGCTTTCGAATATACAATCTATATCTACGTATCTTTTGTGAGTTCCATGCTAATTGGCAGCCGGGGCTGCCTTTGGCTCAGTTCGAGAGATGGCCAAGTGTGTTTGTGCAAGCCATTCGGCTGCGGGGGCTTAAAACAATTGCTTAGGGCAATTAAAGCTGCGCCTGCGCGCCCCTTCCTAACCTCAAAAAATCGTCAGCGGACTCAAAGAAGCTGAAAAATACATCTGAAAAATAACAAAAAAATATATATGAGTATATAAAAGCCTTCGGACGAGACTCTTGTGGCTCGTAATGTGAAACTGGTTCCTACACAAACACACACATACACACACGAATACATACACACATAGTTAACAGTCCCACTCGAAAACACACACATACAGTGAAATGTAAACACCAATACAGTGGCGAATTGCAACGACAACAGCTTAAATATAAAACAACAACAACAACAACAGTTTGAGAAACGCAGTGAAAGAGTTGAAATAAAATTTATGAAAAAGTTGTATCTTTGGCACGCAAAGCTGAGCAAGCAAAAGAGCCGAAAGTAAGCCGCAAGTTCACGAAAAAAAATATACAAAAATAACCCCTATGACGTCAGGGGTTATTGCTTGGAACAGGGCTTAATTCATCCCACTGTACCAACAAAAAAAAAACAACCAACCCACCACCCACCGTCCAACAATGCTGCTGCGACGGCGAAACGGCCTTTGCCTCCCCCTCCTGCTGCTGCTCTTGGTCCACTGCATATGCATTTGGCCCGCTTCGGCGGTTCGCGATCGCTACGCCCGCCAAAACAACCGCCAGCGCCATCAGGACTTGGATCGAGATCGGGATCGGGATCGATTCGTCTATCGCAGCAGTTCGGCCAGGGATCGACAGAGGGGCGGGGCCAACTTCGCCCTAGGACTGGGACCCGGTGGAGTTACCATTCCCACCAGTCTGGAGGATCAGAAGCCCAACGAGTTTGTCAAGGGAAAAAGTAAGTTGTCCACCGCCAGGATCTAGCCAGCCATCCATCCGTCTTCGTTACACAGCCCATCTATCACAATGTGTTTGTGTAGATCATCCGCCTGCTTGGCTGCCCATATATCAAAAAAGCCAAGTCGGCCCAAATATGACCACCGAATCGGTATCACTTGGGCTCTTGAGTTTCCAGTCTTTTTGGGTTTTCAGTTTCGGTTTCGTTCCAGCGATATGCTGTTGGTTATCTTATCGCCGGTGAGCTGTTGTTTTTGTTCTGTTTGCCCCTTATGCTGCACTTTATATATTAGCTTCGTTTTCGGCTGCATTTCGAATTATTAGGTCTTATCGCTACCCTGGGAAACTCAAATATCGTGGGCTATGCGCGAATTGCGCAATGTTATAAATGTTTTGAACGAGTTGAAAAAAGGGAAGTAATTCCTTATAGAACATATTATTATGGTCTGGGCAAAGTCGATTGTGTTAAAGCAGTGCATATTTTGCTTTATACTTTTGGGTATTTAAAACGAAATTTCTTTTTTTCTAATACAAAATTGGTATATAATTTTTTTTTTTAATTATCGATATATGATTAAATTTCTTAAACAAATTTTTTAAAACACAATTCAATTGAATGTCTGTATTAACTTTTTATGTATTTTATTTAATATATTTTTATATTAATATTTTCCTAAATGATATGGCAAAACATCAAGTATACGCCGGGGTATCTTTAATTTCACACCCTCTACGACTATTTTATACCTGCCCTTTGCTGCTGGTCTCACCTGCCCTGTGTCTCACCTCTTGACTTGGCGCTGGCTTAGTCAAAGAGTCTTGTGTGCACTATCGCCCCCTGTTTTGGGTTCCCCTACCCCTCCCCCTCCTACTTCTCCTTTTTCTACCGCCCTGCATCAGATATCACGCAAACAACAAATACCAGAACACACTGATTAGCCAAGGAGAGCATTTCGTTCTGCATTTCGTAATGTCAAGAGTACAAGGTAAAGCGTAGTTAGTTAGTGTTAAGATAGCTCGACTTTTCCCGCCGTCTGCGTGCACTTTTCTCTGCATCAGCGGTAATTGCAGCGACAGCAACAAGCGACACAATTTCCAGCTAAAATGGCGACTCAATTTGTTGACTCGGCAATTCTCGAGGTTTTCTTGGCGGGGTTCGGCTGTTGGCCCTTTGGAAATTAATACAAAATTGTATTCGCATACTGGAACTTTCGGCTGGGTGGCTGTTTGAACAACCATTTGGCCACAATTTAATGAACAGCACTGCGTATCTGGCCGTGTCTGTTTGCACAATACTTTGAGGCAAATGTTTGTATTTGGCGGGCAAACAAAAAAATACAAAATTAAAAATGGAGGCGAGTAAAGGCCGTCCGTCGATATACAGTACTCAGTGATCTTGTAGCTGCAAATTAATAATTGAATGTGCGCATTGTCCGCCGGCAACTGTGCAAATATTGATAGGAAAACTTTGGCCGGGCTCTATGCTAATGGAGAGTTACTACCACATAGCCGGATATAAAATCCGGAAATCTGGCTAGATAAGCGGTTTATGAAACCGATAAAGACTCCCGTCTTCGCCCCGATAATCGTCCCCATTATTACCCTTTAATTTTGCACAAGCGATGGTTAACTCAAAGCCCTTTTCCACTGGAATTGTTCGCGTTGTTTGCACTCCGTTACTGTGTTGTTTCTTTCTTTATGACCATAAATAAGCACAGCTGCGGCAAATATGCAAATAAATGCTAGAGAAAAGCCTGCCGCAAGCTGCACGTGCAAGCGAATCAAACCCGTTGAACAATATATTTTTTATGGGGGGTTTGGGAAACTTGAGCAACTTTATAGCTTAAACTAATTCGCATTGAGCAGCAAACCATCTTTCATTTCTGACATTAGTAATTATAGCGCAATTGTAATACAACATTTTTTGTAAACCTTTTTCGTAGAATTTTACTGTTTATTGGATATTTTTTGTAGTGACTGGTTTGATTAATTGGAATTATTACTCACTTCTATAGAGGAAGCATATGTCACGGGGAACAATTTCTTTATATTTTTGAACATAATTTTTCCTATTGTTATTATTGTAACAAACATGTTTTTCTTAAAACCAGGAGACATGAGAGATTAATAATTTATTGCTTTTAAAATAAGTTTACTCGCGTAACATATTTTTATTAGCGGAAAGTTGGGGTTTAGCTGTATTTAAATGTAGTTTGTTTTCATTCAAATAAGTAAATTCAATAAACAAGCAGTTTATCTATTAAAATATTTAATTACTTTTTGAATTCTTTGTTTTTTTTATACAAATGATATATTTCTTCAAAAACAAACCTTTTAGTTGTTTCAATTACCCTAGAAATATCTCGGAAAGAGCTTACCAATCCGATTTTGGAGTTCACTACACCCACCTCCCCCACATAGATACACACTCGCACACACACACACACACACACAGCCCATCTCAGGGCGGCTTGAGTGTGCGTGCCAGCGCTTGAAAAACCGCATTCCATAGTGCGCTTTGCTGCGATGACTTGAGTCGAAGTCGAAGTCAGTCCAAGTCCGAGTCCAACCAGCATCCCCACAATCCCAGCATCCCAGCCCCCTGAGGCCCCCATTTTCTAGCTAATTACGGCGACAGGCACGCGCTGTTTTCGCCTGTGTGTGTCCGTGTCCGTGTGCGCTTTGCATTTTTCTATAATATTTCTGATTAAGCCATCGTATCAAAGAAATAATGGCCAAATTGAACTGCGAAATGGTCAGAGCTTGGCTTTCAGCCAATGCTGAACTTTAAGGCCTGGTCGGCTGCAGTCGTTGATGCATTAGCGTTGCATTTACTTTTAGCCGTTCGACTACTTCCAGCAATTTTGAGCCCGAGTCGAAATACTGGTTTTCTAAAACCTACACGGATATACAAACACACACTTACACACACACACACACCAGCGAGAGCAGAGAGCGGTGGAAATAAAAAGAGAGAGCATCTCGGGCTGCTGCGATTGCGCAGTCTCAGTCTCTGCGCATATTTGTTTTATTTTCCTGGACCCAAAGACACTTTTCCTAGGATACACAGTAAAAAGAATAGATTTATGATACACAAATTAAAACCTAAATTACTAGGATAGTAAATAAATAAATTAAATAATTAAATAATAAATTTAAAGCATAAACGGATAAACTTCCGAGTCTTATAGATTTGTTAGTATAGTACATATAAACTAAAACTTAAACTATATAAACATAAATATATTTAAAAAACTTTTTCGTGTTAAAGAATTTGTAAATTTTTCTTCGTTTTGAAGTTACAAATAAGTTTGTAAGAGAAAGCACTCTTTAATTACCATTTCAAATATTTTGATCCATTTGGCTTAACATTGGAAATTAACTTAGGGAAACGCACCATGTTTCTTAATGTGTGCTGGCTTTTGTGAACTTTTGACTGCAGTTCGCCTGACTCTCTGCCTCCGCCTTTTTTCTTTGCCTCTTTTTTCTGCGTGTGGGCGTTCGATTTCGAAAACCAGAGCCAAATGCGAGGTTGTCGGTCCTCTGCCCACGAGAACTGCTGCCCGTTGCTGCCGAGATCGCTTCTGAGACTGAGACCTCTCCCCGATTTTCTTTACCGTCTCGCTCTTGAGCCGTTCTATGCCTAAAAATAGTTGCGAATGCGAAAATTCAAAGCCAGGCAGCAGACCAAAAATGGCGCCAGGGCGTGCTCATTAAGCCAAAGCCAGAGCCAGAGCCAAAGCCAAAGCCATAGCCAGAGCCATAAGCTGCAATTCAGCCCAGTTGGGGGTTTTTCTGTTGATTAAGGGGGCCGGGGAACTCAGAACAAAGAGTGCTGGCAACAGCGAAAACAATAAGCTTATCTAATCCAGGCATTGCTGTTGCGCTTGCTGTTGCTCTTGCTGTTCGCTGTTGCTGTTCGTTGTCGTGCCTCACGACCTGCGCCCAATTGTTGTTCGAAACAAAATGAACGCGCTTCGAACACGAAAACCCGAAAGCAGAAGATGCTGATCATGGCGTCGAGGATCATGCGAGGGCAGGGGGGCACTGCTAAGGAAAACCAGCCAGATGAGCCGCCACAAGGCATCACCATCACCATCACCTTCACCATCATCATCATCATCTCCAGCCAAGAGGCTGTCTTTCTGTGCCTGTTGCTGTATTGCTGTGTTGCTGCATCTTCGCTTCGTGGCCGTTGCCTGATTTGCCTTTGTTTTAGCACTCAAAGAAATAAGGGTGTGAGAGCTAAAAGCATTTAAACATTTTATGCTTGCATTAACATTTTGATATTTTCAACTTGTCGCTATCGAAGTCCTTAACAAAGTCTATTAAAAAATTTTATGGGCATTCCAAACGTTTATTCTTCAGAATTTTAATTTTTAATTTTTTTAGTATTTAAAATGTTTGGGGAACTCAAGAACTTTTAATTTGTTTAATAATTGTTGCTATAGCTAATGCAATATCAGAACACTCTTTTTTTGTGTTAACAGTTTGATATTTACTTTTCTTATCATTTTAAAAAACTTAAAATTAAGTGAGATTCTTAATAATTCTTTGTATCTTTGGGTTGGTAATTTTGGACAGTGCCTATTTTTTACCGGAGGACAGTCGATTGTCGGTGCTTTGTTGTTGCTGCCACGACGACTTCGGCCTGCAAATTTGTTATGCCAAGCTGAAGATGCGCCTGCGCTTGCAGCGTTTTCTGGGGAAGATTTCCTGGCCTTAGTCTCTGCCTGATCCCCTGACCCCCTTAAACCGTCAACCATCCCACCACCCGCTGCAGTTGCGCTTATTTGCCTTCGCCTTCGTGACGCCACGACGCGAGCATAGAACACAGCGGCAATAGCTGGCCACACGAAAGAAAGTTGCCGCAACAGCATTCTGCAAAGCGAAATAAAAAGTCAGAAAAACTCTGAGAGAGAGGAAAATTGCAAAATCCGCGCACGTAAGCGTCGAACTGGCGACTCATGGCTTTGGATCTGGCTCTGTCTTTGGCTTCAATCCAGTGGTAAACGTAAACCCCTCCGCCCCTAATGAGCTGCGTGTTTTTAATGGCTGCACAAATGAATTTATTAAGCACTTTTACACAATTTCATTGTAAAATAGGCGCGTGCCGAGCGGCAGTGGACTGAAATTGTCGCAAAACAGTTATGAATTATTTATGTGGAGTTGTGAGGCGATCAAAAAGGGGGGCGGGGGGGAGGGGACAAACGGGCCAGAGTCGTACCGATCGCATTGCAATTGCTGTCGGACGTTAATCTATGACACCTTGCGATCCAGTCAGCTGCATCTGCATATGGCGCCGGATCGAAACTTTCACCAAATGCCGCAGCCACCGCCTCGGATCAGATCAATGTACTTGTTCATCAAATCCATCTCCCAAAACTCACATACTGCCAGCGGCATTAACGGCGAGCAGTGGCCGATAATTTGATCGAATCGGGGTAACCATTCGATCTCAGAGCTCTAAACTCTAAACTCTGAGAAAACAATGCCTGTGTCTAATGCCCTTTTAAATCTTTTGTTATATTACAACAAAATCTAGACAATTCTTGTTCTTCGTGTTGCCGCGGGCCAGTCGAGGAGGGTACACAAAAATGTTGCCAGCCATCTGGGGTTCGGGGTTTTTGTTTTTTGTTTTCGGTTTTTCGGTTTTCGGTTTCGGGCCATGAGTTAAAAATCTTTTCCACGAAATGAAAATACAGACACAGGGAGGGGAGGGGAATGAGCGCCGAGAGCGGTACAAACGTGAGCAACAAAAACTGTTAAGTGCGCAGAACCGGCTAAGCGAGTCGGGTATTTTCAGTTCTGTTGCAGCGATGAGCGGAGTAGATAGTAGATAGATGGAGATGGAGATGGGGGGAGGGGGACGTCAAGAACGCTTTGCGTCTAGGCCAGAATCGGAGGAAAACTTGGGGTCCAAAAGTCAAATTGCCGATGGAAAACCGAAAGAATCGATTATGCAGTCTCTTCGCTTTCTTCTACCATTTTCATCTTGGTGAAAAGGCAAACAGCAGCAGCCGAAGCCGCAGCAGCAGCAGCAGCAGCTGGAAACAAAAAGCAATATTTAGAAAGTCAGCAAAGTAAAGTTTGGAATGCGGTTGCCTATTAATCAGTACGTCAGATGATGATGATGACCGCAGGGGCGGCGAAGGGCAATGAAGTTGAGTCGTGTGTGTTGATGGCTTGGCATACAAATCGATAAACAAATACAGCAAATACAGCGATTTTCCAGAGTCTGCGTTTCTGTCTCTTCTCCTGTGTTGGTTGATTAATCTCAGCGCTGAAGTTCGTTGCCTAAGTCTTTTGTTTTAATGAGCACATCATGAATTATGACTTTGATTTGTGCTGCTGCGACTGCGACTTGAGACTTGAGACATAAGACTTGAGAGGCAGCCACAGAATGCCCGGCCACTCATTAATGTTGCCACACTTAGCCTTAGCCTAAGGATTACAAATTAGCCTTTTTGTGAGCTGGGCGGGCGTGTCGCTGGCCGAGGAGAAAAATCGCAAATGCCCCGCCACGTTCGATTCACAAGAAACCCGAGTTGAAGCGTTTGCCTGGCAGGGAATCCGCCGCCGTCGTCTTGTGGCTTAAGTTTCAGGCCTCGAACATGAAAAACCTGGCTGATAAATTGTGCGCGATAAAGCCCAGTCGAGAGGAGTCGACTCGAGTCTTGAAAAGGGTTTCGTGATGTCGGCTTCGTTCGCCATGAGAAATGATGCTGTTGATGCTGCTGCTGCCCAGCGGCAAACCTCGACCACAAAAAAATAAAATAAAATAAAAAACAAAAAATGAACGGAAAATAAAAGAGCTGGCAGAAACAAAGCTTAAGAATTTGTACGAAAATTTTTGCGCTTCGATTGCTGTAGCCGCTTTTGATCAGTGTCCAGCGACAAAGTCGAGGTCCCAGTCGTGGCCTCACCTTCGCATCCACATCCACATTCACAACTCCCTCCCCTTCCTTTTGGCGGAATGCATGGGACGCATATCTGGGGGCATTTAACTTTTTCTTCCCATCGCCAAAGGAATTTCTCCGTTTCTGGCGACAGAAATATTTCTGTCTTTGGTTCGTTCCTTTTCATAATTATGGGATATTTGTTCGAAGGAAATCGATAAAGTTTCTTTTGTGTTTGGGGGGTTGGGGGAGCGGCCATTTTGTGGATAATTAGTTGGTTAGTTGGGTGCTTTGGCCCGTGGGTTGGGCCCCTTTACAAAGAATAGGTGGGTGTCTAACTCCAACTCACATGGCACACTTTTGCGGCCCACACGAACCGCCGGGGCTAGCCCACGTAGCCCTTCTCGGAAGAACCACCGCATATGAAACTGTATCTATCGGATGCAAATCAATGAAGTTGTCGCCGAAGATGCTCGACTACGCGAGCGGCTAAAACAGGTCGCTGACTAATGATAAGAGGCCGTCTGGGATGAGATGCCCGATGCGAGACTGCGTGGGTCGCTAATTATTAAAAACGCCAACTGGCACTGAGAGTCTCGCGCCCACTGGTTTTGCCTTTGTTTCGGTTTCCACCTCTACCTCTACCTCATTTTATTGCTTCCGAGCAAACAAACAACAGGGCAAAGCTATTTCCGTTTACAATCCGTTCGAAGTTCGAAACGAAATTAATTTCTCAAACTGCCCGAGTATAAGTCAACACCTACCCACCTACGAACTGGTGGGCTTTCGGATAATTGGACAGTTTAGGGTCAGCCGCAACAAAAAACCCATTAACCCGCATAAGCCACCCACAGTATTACAACGATTTCCCTTTTTCCAACTCTCTTTGCAGTCTGCATTGGAACCAAATCCCGGCTGTCAGTGCCCTCGAACAAGGAGCACCATTACCGGAATCTCAAGGATCGGTACACAAACTGCACGTATGTGGATGGCAACCTGGAGCTGACCTGGCTGCCCAACGAGAATCTGGACCTGAGCTTCCTGGAAAACATTCGGGAGGTCACCGGCTATATACTGATCAGTCATGTGGACGTCAAGCAAGTGGTGTTTCCAAAGTAAGTTTGAAATTTTAGCTCATTAATATTTGTGCATATAAATTACTTTAAGAATGTGATGAAAGATGTTGACTTTAGTAACACATTTTAATAAAACGCTAGGCTGCTTAGAAATCGGCAATAAAATAATCATTACAATCAAGTAAAGTTTATAAAGCTGAAACTAAAATAAACTTAAATTCATGTTAATGTAGACATTGTTAATTGAAATTCTCATTTAAATGTTGCAGCTAATAAAAATACAATTTTTATGAATCTCTCTAATTAGAGAACGTATATTAAGAAATTTAAATTATAAAATTTATTAAAATCCTAAGCTGCTTTAAAATCGTAAAAAAGCCATTTTAGCTTAAAAAGTTTTATAAATTCCCTAACATCTCTATGAAGCTGAATGTCACAAGTTTTGAATCTTAAGCTTAAGTGAATTTAATGGTATGCATTGCTAATTTAAATTGCCATTTAAAGCACCCAATAAAAATGGAAAGATTATGAATTCTAAGCTTCTTCATTTGTAATGAAGAAAATTTTAAAAAATACATACGTTTTAAAACTGAATAAAGCTTAAACAAATTTTGTGGTATGCATTGCAATTCAAATTGAGTTGTCATTTAAAGTAGCCAATATAAATTAAATGATTATAAAATGTTTACTGATTTTGTATCTCTTGAATTTCAGACTGCAAATTATACGCGGTCGCACGCTGTTCAGTTTGTCCGTGGAGGAGGACAAGTACGCCCTGTTTGTCACCTACTCCAGGATGTACACGCTGGAGATTCCCGACCTGCGCGACGTGCTGAATGGCTACGTGGGCTTCCACAACAACTACAACCTCTGCCACATGCGTACGATCAATTGGACGGAGATCGTGTCCAGCGGCGTGGATGCGTACTACAAGTACAACTTCACGGCGCCGGAACGGGAGTGTCCGAAGTGCCACGACAAGTGCCTGAAGGGATGTTGGGGCGAGGGTCTGCACAACTGCCAGAAGTTCAGCAAGGTGACCTGTTCGCCGCAATGCGCCGGCGGCAGGTGCTTCGGACCGCAGCCGCGGCAGTGCTGCCATCTCTTCTGCGCCGGCGGATGCACTGGACCCACGCAGAAGGACTGCATCGCCTGCAAGAACTTCTTCGACGAGGGCGTCTGCAAGGAGGAGTGCCCGCCGATGCGCAAGTACAACCCCACCACCTATGTGCTGGAGGCCAATCCGGAGGGCAAGTTCGCCTACGGGGCCACCTGTGTGAAGGAGTGTCCGGGCCACCTGTTGCGCGACAATGGCGCCTGTGTGCGCAGCTGCCCGCAGGACAAGATGGCCAAGGCGGGCGAGTGTGTGCCCTGCTACGGTCCCTGCCCCAAGACGTGCACGGGCGTCACCGTCCTGCATGCCGGCAACATCGACTCCTTCCGCAACTGCACGGTGATCGATGGAAACATCCGCATCCTGGATCAAACCTTCTCGGGCTTCCAGGACGTCTATCCCAACTACACGATGGGCGCCCGCTACATACCACTGGATCCGGAGCGACTGGAGGTCTTCTCCACGGTGAAGGAGATCACCGGCTATCTGAACATCGAGGGCACCCATCCGCGCTTCCGCAACCTGTCCTACTTCCGCAACCTGGAGACCATCCACGGCCGCCAACTGATGGAGAGCATGTTTGCCGCGTTGGCCATCGTCAAGTCCTCGCTGTACAGCCTCGAGATGCGCAATCTCAAGCAGATCAGCTCCGGCAGCGTGGTCATCCAGCACAACCGGGACCTCTGCTACGTGGGCAACATTCGGTGGCCAGCCATACAGATGGAGAAGGATCAGAAGGTGTGGGTCAACGAGAATCTCAGGGCGGAACTGTGTGGTAAGTTTTATTCATTTGTATATGGCTTTAATTACTTTTTGTAATTTATTTTAATTAATATCTTAGTTTAATGGGAAATAGAAACTTATTTTAACAAGCATAGACTTAAAACTTATTACTAACATTTATGACTTACCCAAGATTTCATTATATTATTTGTGATAGATTATTAGTTAGATATTGGCTTTCTTTCTACCACTCGATTTTATATTTCCTTTTTGTTTTGCATTATACTTAAGTATTGTGCTATCTTATTTGACATGTTTCTTACCTACTCTTATTTAATAAGAGGAATCTAAAAACCTATACTTTAGTTTTGAATAGAAGTTTGAACTTTTTGCCTGTAACTCATTTTCATGTTAACCATTTTGCAGAGAAAAACGGAACCATTTGTTCGGATCAGTGCAACGAGGATGGCTGCTGGGGAGCTGGCGCGGATCAGTGTCTCACCTGCAAGAATTTCAACTTCAATGGCACCTGCATAGCCGACTGTCGTAATATCTCCAAGTAAGTTTCAAAAACCCAGAAGTAATCGTATACAGTGAAGCAGCTAACCCTATTCTCTTTGCCTCGTTTAGTGCCTACCAGTTCGACAAGAACACGTGCATGGTGTGCCATCCGGAGTGCCGGACTTGCACGGGATCCGGGGCAGACCACTGCGAGGAGTGTGTCCATGTGCGGGACGAGCAGCACTGCGTGTCCGAGTGTCCGGAGAACAAGTACAACGATCGGGGCGTGTGCCGCAAGTGCCATGCCACGTGCGAGGGATGCACGGGACCCAAGGACACCATTGGCATGGGTGCGTGCAAGACCTGCAATTTGGCCATCATCAACACGGACGCGACGGTGGAGCGCTGCCTGCTAAAGGACGACAAGTGTCCGGACGGCTACTACTGGGAGTATGTGCATCCACAGGAGCAGGGATCGCTCAAGCCACTGGCCGGCAAGGCGGTGTGCCGGAAGTGCCATCCGCTTTGCGAACTGTGCACCAACTACGGCTTCCACGAGCAGGTGTGCTCCAAGTGCAAGGGCTACAAGCGCAAGGAGCAGTGCGAGAACGAGTGTCCGGCCAACCACTACACGGACGAGGAGCGGCGCGAGTGCTTCGAGTGCCATCCGGAGTGCAAGGGGTGCACGGGTCCGGGCGCCGACGACTGCCTGGCCTGCATCAACTTCAAGCTGTTCGACGCCAACGAGACGGGCTCGTATGGCAACTCAACGATGTTCAACTGCACCTCCAAGTGCCCGCAGGAGTTCCGGCATGTCAACTACCAGTCGCAGATCATTGGACCCTACTGCGCATCCAGTCCACCGCGGAGCAGCAAGATGACGGCCAATCTGGATATCAATATGATCTTTATCATCACGGGAGCTGTTCTGGTACCCACCATCTGCATCCTGTGCGTGGTCACCTACATTTGCCGGCAGAAGCAGAAGGCCAAGAAGGAGACGGTCAAGATGACCATGGCCCTTTCCGGCTGCGAGGATTCCGAGCCGCTGCGTCCCTCCAACATCGGCGCCAATCTGTGCAAGCTGCGCATTGTCAAGGACGCGGAGTTGCGCAAGGGCGGTGTCCTGGGAATGGGCGCCTTCGGACGCGTGTACAAGGGCGTCTGGGTGCCGGAGGGCGAGAATGTCAAGATACCGGTGGCCATCAAGGAGCTGCTCAAGTCGACGGGCGCCGAGTCCAGCGAGGAGTTCCTGCGTGAGGCGTACATCATGGCCTCCGTGGAGCATGCCAATCTGCTGAAGCTGCTGGCCGTCTGCATGTCCTCGCAAATGATGCTCATCACCCAGCTGATGCCGCTGGGCTGCCTGCTGGACTATGTGCGCAGCAACCGCGACAAGATCGGCTCCAAGGCGCTGCTCAACTGGAGCACCCAGATCGCCAAGGGCATGTCGTATCTGGAGGAGAAGCGACTGGTCCATCGCGACCTGGCCGCCCGCAATGTGCTGGTGCAGACGCCCTCGCAGGTAAAGATCACGGACTTCGGACTGGCCAAGCTGCTGAGCAGCGACTCCAACGAGTACAAGGCGGCCGGCGGCAAGATGCCCATCAAGTGGCTGGCCCTGGAGTGCATCCGCAACCGCGTCTTCACCAGCAAGTCGGACGTGTGGGCCTTCGGTGTGACCATTTGGGAGCTGCTGACCTTCGGCCAGCGACCGCACGAGAACATACCGGCCAAGGACATACCCGATCTCATCGAGGTCGGCCTGAAGCTGGACCAGCCGGTCATCTGCTCACTGGACGTCTACTGCACCCTGCTCTCGTGCTGGCACCTGGATGCGGCTATGCGACCGACCTTCAAGCAGCTGACCACGGTCTTCGCCGAGTTCGCCCGGGATCCAGGTCGCTACCTGGTCATCCCCGGTGACAAGTTCACCCGCCTGCCGGCCTACACGAGCAAGGATGAGAAGGATCTCATCCGGAAGCTGGCGCCGACCAGCACAGATGGCCCCGAGGCGATTGCGGAGCCGGATGAGTACCTGCAGCCGAAGACGGGGCCGGGTCCTAGCCACCGCACCGATGGCACCGATGAGATACCCAAGCTGAATCGCTACTGTAAGGATCCCAGCAACAAGAACTCTAGTGGCGGCGACGATGAGACCGACTCGGCTGCTCGGGAGGTGGGCGTGGGTAATCTGCGTCTGGACCTGCCGGTCGATGAGGATGACTACCTGGTGCCTACATGCCAAACGGGGCCCAGCAGCAACAACAACAACACCAACAATCCCAACCAAAACAACATGGCAGCGGTAGGCGTGGCCGCTGGCTACATGGATCTCATCGGAGTTCCCGTTAGCGTGGACAATCCAGAGTATCTGCTGAATGCGCAGGCTCTGGGCGTGAGCGAGGCACCGATACCGACGCAGACCATCGGAATTCCGGTGATGGCAGTGCCGGGCACCATGGAGGTCAAGATGCCGCTGCCCGGCAGTGAGCCAACCAGCTCAGACCACGAGTACTACAACGACACTCAGCGGGAGTTGCAGCCGCTGCATCGAAACCGCAACACGGAGACGAGGGTGTAGACTGTAGTCTGTGGATGTAACGGAACGGAACGGAATAGCGAACGGAGAATCTTGCCAAGTGCCTTTGGAAGCCATGCCGCTGCTGGCTGCCATCTGCCATCTGCCATCTTAGATGGGACAGCCTGTGCACAGCCTGTACAAAGCCTAGACCGACCCATAGATTTGTATATTACTACCGATATTACTCTCTAGTGTACTTAGCAGTCCTTTCCCTCTTTGTGTATACCTTTCTATCTAAACAAGTAGTCAGCAGGGATCGTTGTCGCGATCCTGCGCATGTAGATTCCATGTAATCACGAGAACAAAACACCGATAGTGCATTTCTTAGACGCCTCCGACAGACTTCAAGGGATCCCATCCGGATCGGATCGGAGGGCACACACTAAGCTAATCCGATGTCCAGTTCACTTGGGGCGTCCACAACTTCTTGTACTTGTAGTTAGCCGTAGTCCCATGTAGCGCCTAATCTCCAACTGTGATATAGTTTGTACGACTCTTGACCTAAGGACCTTTAACACGATAACGATCAAACAAATCGAACGACTCGACCGACACACATTTAAGCAAATGAAAATAGTAGAAAAAGTAATCAATGAGTAGCCACATACCGATCTTATGCAATTTTAGGCCTAGTTTCAAATCCCATTCGATATATCGAGTTTGACAATCAAATCCCGAGCGTGCCATGCATCGATCGATGCAAATCTCCTAAAGATTTCGAATATTTTGTTGGCACACTAGCGTGTAAGCGAATGCCTAGGCGATATGTTACTGATCAAAGATAAATAAGTAATCCACACAAACATATACTTATAACACACAATATATGTACCACTTATACACGTGTAGATTTGCCAAGTGCAGTTATGCATACCGATTAAGTTAATTTAATTTAAATTAGACTACATATATGTGAATATATTATACACAAATAAAATTATTTTCAATAAATATTCAATTATTTTTTTAATGGAAACATAACGACTTTTTCAGATCATAAGTAAGTATTGTTGCATTATTCACAGCACAGCACATCGTGGTCTAATTTTTTTAACAGATCGTCAAAAAGATATATATATATATATATATATAAATAAATGCATTCAATTTAATTATTGAAACACAAACATAATTTTTCATTTTTGAAATTTTAGGACTAAGACTTTACTGTTAAAAAAAAAGAGGAAGAACAACAAAATAAACAATTGTGAAGGCATTAACTTAGTTTACATTTCAAGAGCCAGTGGAAAAGGAAGCAGTGGCGGCACTGGCGTCGGCAAGCAGGGTACTGCTTTTTCGTTTTACTCCACTGCTTTGCTGTTTAGTTTGCACTTAAAGTAAAAGCGTCCTCTATTCGCGCCCACTGAGTATTCAAATTTGAATTCCAGCCCAAGTAAAATAGAAATTCAACAATTTACACGTACTTTTTGCTTTATTTAAATATTCAATTGAGTGGTTGTTCTATAGAGGGGCGTGGTCGCAAACTGTATTTTGTTGAATATATCTATATTTGCATGTAATTGTATTTGAATTGGTGTAGACTATTTAGACGTCGGTTCGTATATATTGAAAAAGTTATCCCATAGTTTACATTCATAAAGGTTCAATTACATCAATTAAGTACTACAAAACTATTTTTGCTGTGAGTTGCTCTTGAGTTAATGTTACTCTACCATAGTTTTCAGTGTGGGTGTGTGTGTGTGGGTGTGTGGGCGTGTGGGTTACAATAATTTAAGCCAGCTACAATCCCTGGCCGATTCGATTCAATGGAACAACTCAAGGTCATTAGCCGTAGGTGGTACACTTAGAGAAAACAATATTCGACTTAAACGTAAGGCTAAAAAACAAAATCAGTGCTGGGCTCTTGGCTCTCTAAATGCTTAATAATACGCACGAGTGTGTTTGTGTCCAGTGTCTGTGCCAGCAAACTTAATTGATAAACATTAAATAACATTTGGATTCAGATTCAGAACTTGCATCCGCAGCGAATTCTAAAATACAAACTGCTCAGAGCAGCAATGTGCAGCCCCCTAACGTGGATGGATCGAGTTGTATGGAATGAAATCTATGGACACATCAGGGCAATAATTTGATGTCCAAAATCACGTTTGAGCTACGTTAAATTCTGTCAATTAGGGCATTTTAAAAATGATCGGTTTTTACATGTTTCGCTGAAACCAACTTGCAAACTTTAATTTTCTAAAAGGTTCTTCAGTTTACAATACAAAAATTTGTTAGATTGGCTTGAAGATGTGAACCTCCTTTTGCTCTACAGTTTATGTTGGATGTAATTATACCAAAGATACCCTTTACATTTCGGCAGAATCAAACTGTATTTTTTCTACACTTTCCCCAAAGAACCCTGCATTTGTCGAGAACTAAACGTGATTCAATACCCATACTTTGTTCATAGATTATATTCTCCTTTAGTGATTGTTGGTCACCTAACCCCGACCTATCCGTTAATCCCCGCGAGCGGCAATTAGCGCCTGCAACGCACATGGATCAGGCGACCAAGTCGCGGGGAGCTAGAACCCGAACCCGAACCCAAACCCGAAACCGAACCGGAACCGGAAACAGAAGCCACAGCGGCAGCTTCCTGGGGAGCTGGGGCAGCCAGTGCAGCTAGGGCCAGGGCCTATCACATTGGGACGCGTCGTGCCAGCAGATACTCGGAGAACTGCTGGCCCCCAACGCTGGCCTCGATGGTGAAGCCGGCGTTGAGCAGCCGCGTGAGCACCTGCACCGAGTTCAGCTTGCAGTAGCCGTTGAGGGGGAAGCGGATGATTTGCCCCCAGTCGCCCTGGTTCCAGGACACGCCGCTGCGACTCGACTGTGTCGCCTGGCTGGCCTCCGGGAAGAGCTCGTCGAGCAGAGCCCGTTCCGCCGACAGCATAATGCGCTCGCCGAGGTCCGGCGAGATGTGCAGCGCCACTACCTCGTAATTGCACTCGGGCGATGCGCTGGTCCTCGGGCTCGTCTTGATGTGGCGAGTCGGTGGAGTGGGTGGCGCCACCAAATAGTTGCCGTTGCGAACGCGATCCTTGCGCATGCTCTCCAGCTGCTTAATCATCGCTGCGGGCGGACCGGTCATGTGGAGCGGCAGGGGGGATGGAGAAGAAGAGCAAATTAGATATAATCGCTGGTGGCAATAACGAGGCTCGGTGCACAGAGAGTTGCGTGAAGCATATAATTCAAAGGTAGCGAATTAACAATTTCAACCGATCAAAATTAAGAATAATTTGGAAAAGTCATCTAAATATACTATACTTCTCAATGTGATTTTAAAATACTTGATTTTATACAGATAATCTTTTTTTATTGAAAGGGTATAATAAATACAAAATTTTCATATTAAAACTTGAAATAACAAAAACAATGTATATTAATAGCAAATCAAGAATAAAATTTTTAACTTTTTATTATTTTTGCAGAAGATCTTGACATATCACGATATTATTTAATTGAGCTTTGTATTAATTGAAAAATGTATCAAAAATACAGTCAATTCAAACTGAGAAATAAATGGTTTTAATTTTTCACCTATGGCAACAGTACGTATGAGCAATAAATGTTAAAGAGGTTGGTGCTATTTCCAAGCCTTTTCTTCTTTTATGTAATGCACAACTTTCAAAGGCTCGAAAGTGAGTTTTTTAAATGTTTTAAAGAACTAGCGTTCTCTATTGAACATATTTTAGATGACTTTGTTTTAATTAAAATAGGTTTTAATACTCGTGACATTTGATATTGCATTTTGAGTAATATTTTGTTTTTTAATTTTAATCATATACTTCTATGCGGTTTTTCTCCGTTTAACTTTTAAGCGGAATACTTACGCTCCACCTCGTAGTAGCGAGCCTCCTCCAGCAGCAGCTCCAGGTCCGGAAAGTCCTCGGCAATCAGAAGTCTTGAGTTTCTCATAAAGTTCAGAATGTGGCGGAACATGCCCCCGTCGCGATCGATGAAATAGTGCTGCTTCAGCGAGTCCAGCACTATGGGTATCTGGCCATTGAAGAGCTTGGCCAGCTTCGACTCCGGATACTTGGTGAGTGTCTCCAGCGAGCTGGTGTAGATGGTCCCGCCCACATCGATGTGAACAGGGGCCGTGTAGCGGGAGGCGGCGGCCACACACGGAATGCCGGTGATGGGCTTGTGGTTGCCGTGCAAATAGGAACTGGCCCCCGCCGATGAGGCTCCTCCGACGGCGGCGGCAGCAGCTGCCACGGCTCCGGGCAGTCCCAGCGGCGTCACTGAGGAACTGGCGGGTGGCGTCGGTGTGGGCGAAGAGGAGTTTGAGATCGTTGGCGAGACGGTGGGCGAGGAGCTGCGGGCGAAAACCATTCACGAATTCACAATGAGATTGTTCGCGACCAAGGGGGGTTTAGGATGGAAGCCTGCTTCCATCATACTGCCATTGAAGTACACTGCACTATATTTCACTATGATATGTGTGGGCCACGTTCAAATACATCGTAATAAGTAAATAAATCCTAATAAAGTATTTAAACCATCAACTTTTGGTTCTTGTTAAATAAATCAAAAGGAATAAATTGTAAGATTTAGGTACATAAATACAAACAAACTATTCAAATAAAAATCCTCCTACTATCATTTAAAAGCAAATATATATTTTTACACATGTTTCACTATAATTTAAATAAAAGTCTAACAAATTCTTGGATTTTCTGAAAACCCTAAAATGTGTCTAATTGTGTTAGTTAAAAATTAGTTATATGGATTTTTAAATCTATTGGGCTTGTGATTTTCTTCAATATGAGTTACTAAAAGAAACACTATATAATTTGCTTAATGTTTTTAAAGAACTAATTAATTTAGTTGTAGAAAGACAACCCACAGCTTCCAAATTTTGTATTGCCCAACTAGGATGCAATGATATGATTCTACAAGTCTTGTATGTCTCTAGTATCTTATTTATTCCTAATTATAAAAACGAACCTGATTTTAATGTCGCTTCTGGCGTAAATTCGGCCCGTGGAGGACAAGTCGCGTGGCTCCAGGGCCTTGACATCTCTTTCTCGCTCTCGATCCATATCGCATTTTTTCCTGTAACCAAGAAATACAACAAATTGTAGTTAATTGCAATGCAATATAATTATAATTAGATAATCTTATATAAGTCCGGGGGGGGGCACGAAAAAGCTAATCATGAGAACCAATTTGACCCCGCTCGCAAAACCGAAATTGACTTGACTCTGATTACGGACGGCAACCAAATCGACAAAGGACAGCCAAACGTGACAACGAAAATGCCGCGACGGGCTGAATATCGCTTGCAGCCCTCCACAGGGCCCCATAAAAGTTCACACACACACACACACACACATCTGTTTGGGTTGGGAGGCAAAAGGAGTCAAGTCGCATATATATACATATATTTCATATGGCCACAGTCTTGGGCTGATTGTGTGGGAATATTTGGTTTTTCACTGCGTTTTCATCTCGGTTACGGGGCTTCGGGCCCCAAGCGATCGTCGCTCCGCAGCTTCAGTCGTGGACAAGACCAAATCGCCATGCCATCCATATGCCAAGCCGTGCCAGGCCAAACCAAACCAAACCAAACCAAAGCGAAACGAAACGGGCGAGCCGTGAATGCAGTTAATGTTAACGGCCATCGAGTGCATCGTTTTAGCACTCGTTGTTGTACTTGTTTGGCCGGAAGGGTTGCCAGTTGAATTTCACACGAAAATCACATTGTTTCGCGGTGGAGAGCGGCAATGTGCGATGTGGGCTCGCCAATTATGATGTGTCAGTCGTATGCGTGCCACATGGCGTATGCGCAACGCGGCCGCTGAGCCGACTTAGCAAAGTCAACACCAATTACCAGGCTACATCTAAATCCCGAAAGCCAAAGTCCTCATCATCGTCTTCATTATCATCATCATCATTAGTATCGGTTACCCAACTCCAGGATAGCAAATTAATAAACCTCAATCGAGCTGCGAGTGAGCAACTCAAACGAGTTGGCCCCGAATGACAAATGTTCACATGCTTTCTGCGCATTAACCTGGCTCCCAGACAATTCTCTTCAGTTATGAAAGTACGTTAATGGGGTACTAACCTTGTAAGGGAAGTTGCGCTAGCCCATAGTAAACGGATCTTTGGAATATAAAACAATATTTCCAAGCGACATATAAAGAATTTATGTATTTAACTTTTTAATCCAGAGTCCTTGACATTTCTTAATTCAAAAAGGGGCTTTTAATAAAATCAGGTACATTACAACTTTATAGGGCGAACCAATTATAATTCTTAGCATTGTTGATTGATAAATATTAGAAAAGAAGTTATGTGATACGAAATAAAACAATGTTTAGGAATGCTTTTTTTGTTTCTCTTAAAAGTATCCAATTATTAGACTGAAACTTAAGTTAGATAAAATTTATAAAATATCAAATATTACTAATCAAATATTTGCCAAAGAGCATCGGTTCATGGCTTTGCCCACAAATCAACGCTGCCCATGTAGCTAAACAAGTTTGCTTTTTTTAAATGTTTGAGACCCTGCGGCCAAACGACTGGGGCTGGGTAATTACGATTTGATTAACTTTAACTACATGAACATTCAAATGCGAATGAGCACGTCAGTGGGATGGGGATGGGGTTGGGAATGTGGTGGATGTAAAAAGCGAATTGAGTCCCAAGGAACGAACGTCGAACAGGGTTACGGCAAAAATAAAAACCAAATGCAGTGCCATAAAAAAATTCCACAAAATAAATGTCTGCAAGGCATTTTCATGGCAGCCACATAGAAATAGCGATGGAGTTGAACTGGGTGAAACGCTGGCTGGGTTTTTTTTATTAATTTACGGCAATTATAAAGCGTGAGTAATGCGTTCAATCAAACATTGCATATTCGTTTATGAGATCTGGCTTAATGGTTTCCTAGCCAATAACCTTTTTCAGCTTCCCTTCCCCTTATTTTTCTTCTTCTTCGTCATCTTCTTCCTCTTCTTCTTCTTCTTCTTCCTCCTTGGCACAGCTGCTGCAGTTGCAGCCACAAAATATGCAATGCCTGAGCTCTCTGGCTTGCCACACAAACAATTCAATTTCAATTGCTTTGCGGCCCACTTGAGCAGGTGCAACAACAACAACAAGCCCCGACACACACACACACCCACACATACATACACATGTGTAGGTGTATATGCATATGTGTGTGTGGACACCCTGAGCTAACGGTATTGTATATAAGACAAGCACTGCAGTTTGCATCCTATTCTAGTCCATTACCGCCGCGAGCGGTATCTTTTCTATGCCGTCTAGTAGCAGGATGAGCAGAAAACTGGGGAAGTGGCGGTGGGACGGTGGGATTTGGGGTTGTGAGTGGAGCGGTGAATGGGCGGAGGGGCAAGGCTGGGCGGAGGGGCCGAGTTGCTGGAGTTGTTCGCAGCGCCTTTGGTTACACTTGAGATGAGACCCAGAGGTGACTCCGTGATATAACCGAAAAATATGAGCATACAATTTCCGAAAGCCAGGAAAGTTTGACTATATATTAAACTATATTCAATATAATAATAATACAAAAACCAGCTACAGACAAACTCATATTCGAGCTGAGTTTAAAAAGCTTCTTAATATAAGAATCAGAAATTCGAAAACTTTTTCGGAAGGTCCCTTTATCGGATTTCTCATTTGAGATTTTGTCTGATTTTAGCTTTCCTGATCTCAAATATAAAAATCTTTTGTGAGAATCAGAAAAACTAAAGAAATTTTCCTTCTTTTTATTTAAGAACTAATTAAATAAAAATTTAATTTTCTTTGTAACAATGAATGAAGCTTTAATACATTTTCACAGCACCGACTAGATATTTTTACTTTGAAAAACATTTTTTTATGAAAAAACAAAACTGTTTAGGCTCAAAATTTAGCTATTTGTAAGGCAAGTTCGAACTGGTCTTTGATTTTAAATTTGTCTGATCTCAATTCATGACACGTTCTCAGCTCTGGCCAATATGAGTTTTGAAGAGTTGCCTTTGCTGTAGTCATATTTGTCAACCGACTTCCCCCCATCATTTTGGCATCCTGGCCTGCTGCCTGCACTCGTCCTTTCTGTGGCCATCATTTGACATCTTTGCCTGGCGCACTGGTTCTGGTTTTAATAGCAATGCCATTAACTCTTAACTCCTGGCATTGCACATTTGCGACTGAGACTTGCTCTTATACTTCTGCTGGAGTTTCATGTTTCATTCGGCACACGCTTGCCGACGCTTGCTTGCTGCCAGAAAGAGACGGTTGCCGTGAGCTTATTAGTTTGCCATTGTTGAGATTGTGAGTGCGGAGCTGGATATCAGGTTGCTGGCCAGTCCGGGCTGATGCAGAGTGGCCCGGGGCCAAACCATTTTCCAAAAAGGAATTATGGACAAAACTGGCCGTTGGCACATGCTCAATGTTCGACTGCTGGGAGGATAACTCAAACTCAAACTCAATGCCACTGCCACCCAGCCAATTCTATTCCCACACGACTTGGGCTGCTCGCTATTTGGATCGGATAGTTGAGTGGGCGCTAGCACCAGCGGTGGCATGCCATCCGCCCACCCAAAACAGGACAAAAGCGAAAACAAAAGCCAAGAAATGAGCTAAAGTGCACACCACACACACACACACTTCGAAACACACACCGGGAGAGCGGCACACACCTCGGCAGAGCATCAGACGTTGACGACTGCGACGCTGACTATGTAACCCTAGAAAATGTCCTGCGGCCAGCCAACCTTCCGCACACAAAGGCCAGACCAGACAGCCCGAGTGTCCTGGTTGCTAGGTGCACTCGCCAAAAAACACAGACAAGATCTCTTTTGCATCTATTGTTTAAATAGTTTTTGATTTCCAAACAACAGAAATTAAATATATATAAATTTTCTCATAAATTTATAATGACCAATATCAGCTCAAAATTTATAAAAAGTGATAATTCTTTAACATTTTCTTAAGCTTTACTTTTTACTGGTATTACTAGTAGTGCTGGCTTTTTAGTTTATTTTTTTGCGATATATTATTGTTTATAAGGATGTCTTAACAATGTTATTAAATAAAGAGGTAAGACAGTCATATTAAACAGAGCAAATATTTTTTACATTTAAAAAACGATATATAAAAAAGGAAATTTTTAATTTACTTAACATTTTAACTTGTTTAAAAACAAAAAATAAACAATTTTACTAAATTTCCTTTCACCTCTAAAAAACAAATATATGCACTCTCATTTATTTTTTGCAGTGTCGTTGGAGAAGGCTAGCTGTGCGGGAGCGAGAGGGGTGGCGAAAAAGGGCAAAAGCTGACTAGGCCCGCGGCGATCGTTTGGAATTAGTGCGGAAATCATGGATGGATACGAAACGAAACCAAGCAAGGAAAGCGAGCCAAGCCAAGCCAAGGAGTACGGCATGCGGAATACGGAATACGAATACGGGCGGAACTGCTGGGGTCCAAAGGACCCTTCGGAAGGTGGGGGTGCTCATTCATCAGCACGGCTCTTTGGTGAGCGGAGGTGTGGTGGGAGGGAGGGATGGGGCACGCGGGCAACTGGCCCCGAATGTAATCCACTGGGGCTCTGCATGAGCGAGTGCCCACTGTAGTCGGGCAAGGTGCCCGGTGTTTGGGATTGAAACTTGGGGTTTTCCTGCTCCTGCTCTTGCTCTTGCTCCTGCCCATCTCCCTTTCTCTCTAGTGTGTTGGTGATTCCTTCAGGGCTTTCTCCGGCTCATACATGTGGCTTCACGTGAGGCTGTGTGTGTGTGAGTGTGTGCCGGGTACCTCCTCATTCATTTATCCTTGCAGAGCGCTGAGGGCAACGAGAGCAGCAACAGCAGCGGCAACAACAACAAAAACAACAACAGCAAAGAAGCAGGAACATAGCCAGTAACCACAACGGCAAGGATACACCTCCTCCCGATCCTTGCCCGAGCCATCGCAAACTCTAGCTCCAGCTCCGGCTCCGATTTCGATAAGGGTAAGGATTGGGAGGACTGGCTGCTGCTGCCGCTGCCGCTGCAGGCGCAAACTTTTGCGATTGGTAGGTAAGTCTAGTCGTGTCCGTTCTGGCTTTGGCTTATACCCACCCATATGTGTATGTGTGTATGTGCCTGCATTTAAAGATATCATACCTAAGTTGGCCTCCGTCTCATGGCCTCAATGCTCCCCAGGCAGCTCGCAAAACAACAGCAGAGAATAAAACAGAAGAAAAATAGGGGGAAAAAAAAACGCAGCATAAAAATGGTGAAAATAAAAAGCAAAACGAAAGTTTTCGAGGCAAAATCTTATCTCAATTTTAAAACGCTGGCGGCGAAAGCGACGTCGGCTGCACTGGATCCACCTCGAAAGTTAATATGAAAACATTGGGAGCTCGGCGATTTATCAAACTGCAACACTTGCAGCGCCAGGCGGCAGGCGGCAGATTATGTTATGTTTGACGGGGCGGAGGATTCCAATTAGACAGGACTTAAATTCGGTTTGGGGTTGCAAAAAGAAAGCAAACTTACGACTCCCCCCCGGGGAGCTGCAGATAAGGGAATGCGGAACGCTTGTGTATCTAGCCAAGACAAACATAAAGTAAACACACACAGACACATACACACATGAGGAATGAGAAGAAAAATCTGCAAAATGTCCTGGGGACAAGTTGAGAAGAATCCAAAGCCTGGGGCAATTCTCGGAAAGGTCGGGAGAAGTGAAGCCTTGGCTTGTTTTCGTTTCGCAGTTGGCCAAAAACCAAAATCAAAACGCTGATGAGCAGGCAAATGAAAAACTTTTGCCGGGCAGTCGGAGAGCCCAAGTAAAACACGAAACGCCAAAGCCAAAGCCAGGAGACCCCAAACTTCGGCCATATGGCGTTGGCTTCTTTGCCTTTGCCATCGGTTCTCGGATCTGGGGCTGCAGTGCCCGAGCTCAACTTTTGCGTCGACGTCGTCTTTAGCCAACGGGTCCAAATGGCGGAGCTGGAGCTGCGGCATATGGGAAATCAGACCACGTTCCCTTACCCCATAACCATTCCCTCTGTGATGCTACGAAAATTGTTGGCCAAAGTTGCAGAATGTGTGCGCCATGGCAAATTGTACAAATATATGCGATATATACATATATATGAATATATATAGTATAGTGAGTGTATGTGGGCAGGGTAGTCTGGCAGAAGTTGAGTGAGTGAGTGAGCGAGTAACTGGAGTCCCGGCATATACACTGAAGCAGCAGATATTAAAACGCTGCAAGGCTTTCAAAAATAAACTTTGAAAAATTTATTAGAAAATATTAAATAAAAACGACGATTGCGCTGCATATGGCTTACTCAGCAAAAGGCGGGTGTAGTGTGCTGGAACGGGTGTTTTTTATCGGCAGGGGATAGGTTTGGAGCTACGTATGCAGAGCAAACATTACTCAGCCAACTCACAGCTCACAACTCGCCGACCTGCAATCTCCGACCTCCGCATGGAAAAAACTGAAACAACAGCAGCAGCGACGACGACGACAAGCAAAATATAAATATATTCCGGATAAATCCACATGTGTGTGTGTCTCTACCTAAAGATAGGATGTTTTTATTCAGCTAAATTCGAAAATTGAATTGAAAGTCAAAAGCGCAATGGATAAGCAGGGAAAACGTCGTAATATTGCCGTATAGGAAAATATTGCGCATACGCAGCGTTGTTTGCACGTTGTGAACAAGTGGAAAGCTACAGTCCGGTAGTTGGTCGATTGCCAGCGCTACTTAATCAAGTGTACATAATAATTAACAGTCATGCTTCCATGTTTCCACTTGAACGGCGCTCAAACAATGGAGCACGATTCGCCATCCGAAAGGGAATCGGAAGCCAGAAACCAGGCCCACCACAAAACCCATTCAGCTGCAGTCCTGCAAGTGCAACTGGATTCGCCAACTGCAACTGCAACTGGCAGTGGCAGACAATGCATCCTGCCTAATTGGTGCAATTTGCGTGTGCATATCGCAGCCAAAAACAGCATCAACAACAGATGCAACACAAAGGCAACGGCAATGGCAACTGAAGTAAAATGCACTTGCAATAGCGGCAGGTGCAGTTGGCCAAAGAATCGGGTTTCGGAATGGGTAATCCGGGGTATGAACGAATCGTAAACAATCCGTGTTGTACAGGGGATTAAGAAAGGGATACAAGTTAAAATTTAATTTTTTTCTTAAAAAACATTTTGTTTTTTAAAGTAAAAGTATATATCTTTTGAATTTTTAATAAGTAACTGAGAATCTTTTTTTTACAATGATATTAATGGTGACAATAATAATGAGTAATAATAATAATAACAAAATATTTTATTTTATTAATTTTTCATTAATAATTTCAATTTAAATTGTGTACCGATTATATTTTGAATGAAAAACACATATTTTCCCTTAGAAAGTACTTTAGCTTGTGTCAATTATAAAACATATAATAACACTTTAAATTTATTATTATTTAAATAAAAGTTCTTCTTATTTTTTTTATAACACGAATACTATAAATGTTTTGTCCTTATAATCTGGTTAACTCACTAAATCATTATCTGTAAGCTACGCGATAGCAAAAAGTCGTACTCCTTGCCAAAATTGGCAACTGCGCAGCCATTCGGTTGGTGCCAAATTGGCAGCGCAATGTTGATGCTGGTAATGATGCCGAATTGCAGCTTAATTAACACACAGCGCGTTAAGAGCTTTCGTGCCACAGTCTCAGCACCGAATGGAACGCCATTCAAATGCAGCAACTGAGGCTTTGACTATTGGCACGTAATGGAAATCACTTTGCCGCTGGTTCCGCTGGCGCACAGAAGCAGGTATAGGCTGTTAATGTTAATGTGAATTCAAGTAGCTGAAGCTTGAATCCGCTGAATGAAAACAAATTAGCAGAGCGTGCGCGAACAGTGAGATCCTGACAATCGCGAACTGTGGCCTCAGACAAACAAACAGACAGGCAAACAAGAGTTTGCCTTCGACTCCGCCTCCTACTGGGAAACTCTTATGTCTGGCTTGTAAAAAACAAGAAAAAAAAAAAACGCAGGGAGAAACAGCAGAAGATAAAACCAAATACCAAAACCAGTTGCTTCCATACGAAAGAGAGCACTGAATGGAATGGGAGGGCAACAGGCGAAGGTCGCCAGCGCCTTATGCACAGAAACAAATAGAAGCATTTAAAACAAAGGATCAATATTAAATTATTTAAATATTTGAAAAGATTGGGAATCTCTAAGGATTAGAAATATATAATAACAATTACAATGCTAAAAGATTGTATACTTATAAATAATTTTATAAGAATCTCTACATAAAGAGTTTATTAAATCTTTACATAGTGCTTTTAACAAAAATATATCATTGAAGGATTTTTCCTGAAAAGTACGCTTTCGATCCCAAAGGTTAGCAATATTTCTTTCCGTGCTTCCCTATTTGAATACAATTTCGCACACTTCAGCTCTCGCTTTGAACTTTGCCTCATGACTTGGCTGCGACTCAACGGACAAACTGGCGGACAAACGGACAAGCTGGCGGACAGACGAACGGACGGACAGACGACTCTCACGGACCGTCGATTCGCTGGCTAAACAAAAATTTGTTGTACGAGTGTGCTGTATGTATTTGGCCCGGGGGTCATCTTTTGGCCGCTTAGTTTTCGACCAGCCACAATACAACCGGTCATGCCCCCTCCTTCGACCCACGACCCCCGCCCAGCACCATCGTATTTTATAGCCTTTAAGGTAGAAAAAATAATGCGACTCGTTCTCGTCTGCACACATAACTCAGCCGGGGGCTAAGGTTGCCCAAAAACGCCAGCGGCGAATTTTGTATGATTTTTTCTGCCCGTCGCCGTTGCCCGCTTCCTTTACCTCTCCCTTTTCCCCTCGGCTACTCTTCTTACTTTTGTTTATTTCTCCTTTGGTGCGGGTACAGAGCACTTGAGGCGCATAATTTTTTTTTTTTTAAACAGTCTTCGTTTATGGCGCACAATTTCTGACTTGGCATGTGGGAGAGACGAAAATCAGTTGCCAGCGGCGCTTTTGGCCAAAACCAAAAGCAAAGGGAGAGAGATCGGGTGGCTTGCAACTTGGACTGTCGATGCTGTTGTGTGTCAAAAATTCATTTATTACAGAATCTTTTTTTAAACTAATTTATTGGCCAGCTCGAAGGCTGGCTGGGATTTTGGGGCATTTTGCAGATGAAAAGTTTTCGTTTTTGGCTTACCGTTTGGGGCAGGAGGAATCCACCGTCAACGGCGATCGTTGATCCAATGCAACAAACGGAGTTCTGTTTTTGGGGCGAGAAACCACAATCATTAGTTAAATATTGAGGTGCTGAGTAATTAACCTGGGTAGATTAAAAATGCGGGCTTTAAAAATGTACAAAACTATTTTTTAGATCTCGGAAACATAGCTTAAGTTTTTGAAAAAGGTAAAATAACAATTACGAATTGAAAATAACGTTTGAAGTAATAATTTTTTAATTTGGCTACAATCTGACAAAATATATATTAATAAAAAACATTGCTTGCTTTATTACAATATAAAAAAATTTTAAAACTTTTTAAAATACATTACTTAAAAATCATAACAAATAAATATACAATTTAAGATTATTCCAAGGGGGGTAAACTTTCAAGGTTATGGTTTTAAGTTACTTAATTGTCAATTGTCAATGTGACATACTTAATAAAAATTCAAAATAGCTGGAGAAAAATATGAAAATCACAGTAAACAATAAAGAATTTGATGTAGTATATGAAATTTGTAAAAATGAAAACCAAATACTTTGCGACTTTAACGTTAAGAAACTCACAAAAAGGTTGGTATATTTAGGAAATGCACTTTAACTCTTTTTTATTACAACGCGCGCGTATTTAAATAATCTTCGTTTTGTCAAATCTTCAGTGTTCTTCGATAAAGTAAGCCTGATTCGATCTGTTCGATATGATCGCTGGCTGCTTTAGGTTAAGCGTTTGAATATCAATTAAGTGTGCGCGCCAACGAGTGTTTACTTCCGTTTCCGCTTGCCAAGTGCTGCCTACTTTTTGGGGAGCTAGCAATTTACCTCACTTGCATTCGCGTCGAAAGTTGGCCGAAAACTGATTCTACTACTCTACTCTCTGGCCGATGGATGGCTTATGGTAATGCCTGCTTGTTGCGTTGCCGTTGCAGTTGCGTGTTGCGTGTTGCGGCTCGAGTTGCGCCTTGGTGCGGGTGGAGTTCGTTGCTGGCGTCTTCTGTGTTGAGCCGACGACCTTGAGAGAGAGCAGTAGCAGCGGCAGCAGCAGCAACAGCAGCAGCAGGAGAGAGAAAAAGAGCCACGATTGTTGTTTAGCTGCTTGGCTTTCGCACCATATGTATGCCTTTGTGTGTGTGTGTGTGTGTGTGAGTGTGAGTGTGTGGACGTTTAATAGTCTATTTCCGGTTTAAGTGGCCTGTTCTTCCGCTTGTTGTTCTTGTTTGCTGTGGCCCGCAACTAAGCTGCCGCAATTAACATTGTAACTGTAAATAGAACAATTGGCTTGGGTGAAATGCTTTCGCTTGCCTTATAAATCGATGCATTTTATTAGAGTTGCAGCACTTGGAAATTGTTTGCTTTTCACCAGGGGTAAGCTTTTCTAATAATTCAATTGAACAATATTGAATAAAAATACTTAAAACATCTTACAGTCATATTCCTATCCTAAAAGTTTGTTTCCCAAACATAGTAAAATACAGAAATTTGTTCAAAAATAAAACTAAAATATTTCCAAGCAACATTTTTTTTTCTAAATCATTGTTTTTGCTCTATGAAATGGTTTGCTATTTTTTGTATATCCGCTTTTGAATCAAACAACGACTTAACTAAAGGATTTCTTTCCCTTACTAACTCAATTATATTTTTGTAATGATAGTTTTACAAATTGAACTTCTATATTTGAAAATTTTTTTCGATGTAAAATGTAGTTTTTTTGATTCCTCGACCAAATTAAATGTAAAATTTGAGCTACTTGGGTTTTTTTTAAGTGGACACAAAATTTGAACCCATTAGTTGCATTAATCATGGGGGACATGTCTATATGCCCGATTTTCTATAATTGTAAATATCAAAGCCTGTTTGTTTTTGTTGCCCCTGGCCATCTGTATCCATGTGTGCGGGTGTATGTGTATGGGTGTATTGCATGAACAACTGACACCCGGCAGTCGTTCTATGTATCTGTATCTGTATCTGTAGCTGTATGCGTAAGCGAGTGTTTGTGTTAATGACAAAGCATAGAACGCTGGGCCCGCAGGCCAAACGAAATGAAACTTTGTGCGGCATCAGGCTCTGGCTCCGGCTCCGGCTCCAGAGACTTTGAAGAAGCACCACCGTCGGCGGTACTAAGAACGGGGCATTGGGGCGCTGAGCCGAGCTGGATGCCCGACGGCCATTTGACGAGCGACTGCGACGAAGGCAGCTGAAATATTTTGTTGCCCGGCGGCAATGCAAAGAAAAACTTGTGATAAATACGCTCCGGGCCGTGTTTCAAAACATGAACTGGAATGGGAAGTACAGGACCGAGAGCGAGTACAGTGAGGCCTGGCCTGCAGTTAGGCAGCTGTAATTAAAATGAGTGCGAACTTTCCACCCACTCGCTGGAAATCGCCCGGGGGGTGGCCAAAACACCATCCCCCTGCCGAGAGTTGTGTCGCATCATTTTTCATTGGCAATTGTTTCGGAATGCTCGCCTATTTGTCCCACGGCCATATTCATTTTGAAGTATATGCGCCACAATAATATATCGCTATATTTTCGCGTTGCGATCTGGCTTAGAGTTGGTCTCGTGACACGAAATCTCAATAATAACTGGGCATAAGAAATTAATTAATTTTTATAACTAGCATGCTGTTGATCTTTACAAAATAATTTTTTACGCATTTCTAAAAGGAATTATTTTAAGGAATTTTGACTCTGACTTTTTATTTTAGACTTATCTTAAAAAATGTCTTATATAAGTATTTTATTTTTGTTAAATTACATTTTTATATAATTATAAACAATAAAAACTTGTCAAATTATAATTGAAGTCTGCCAGCACTGACATTTCAATTTTTCATCTTTTATCGGAACCACTGCCTACGACGAGTGGAAATTGTTGCAATTTTATCGCTCATTTCACTCACTCAGATGGAATGGGCCAAAGTGGGTGGTACTTTTATTGTTTCAAGCGGGGCAAAGGGGAGGTGTGGGCGGCAGCGGGCTTCTTTATTTTGACGTCGCTTTGCGTTTTTGCGTTTTTGCAATTTTAAATATTTTTTTAATCACAAACTCACACACACACACAGTCATGCTGGCTGAGTCGTATGTATTCAGTCACTCATATACGAACTCATACATATGGCAATACCAATATTTCAAGCCAATTTGCTGCAGTTAGCCGCCAGCGGACTGCCAACAAAATAATTCGACAAAATGTGTGCGGCGCGCTTTATGCTTTATTGTTTGGAACGCTGCGGGGCCAGATCAGGGGGTGGTGTGTGGTGGGTGGTGGGTGGTGAGCGAAGAGGGAAGAGGGGCAGCGGAAGTGGGGTTCCGCTGCAGGACTCATACATATATGTGCCATATATATAAATGGAAAAACCAAATACTCGGATCGGTTCAGAAATCAGCGTGGTCGACGGTCGACATCTATACACTTCCTCCGCCCTTTTATAATTATTTGTTGATGACTTTTTAAAGTAGCCCAAGAGCCACGCCCCTTAGCGGGCTAGCCGCCCACTCGATTGCATATTTATTCAAGGCTTGTGCATTTGCTTGTCAATCAATATCATACTGAATGCTGCATTCTGCATACTGCATACTGAATGCGAAAACAGAAACTTTTAAATGCCAACGCATATGCTGAGAATATCCGCAGATTTTTTTGTTGCTCCTCGGCCGCCGACACCATCAGCATCAGCATCAGCATCATCATTATTGTGATTTTTTATTATTACTATTATTTATGTGAGCAAGGCTCATCACAAGGCTGCACAAGTGTGGGTATGTGTGCGCTTTAAAATATATGTAGATAGCTATACGTATTTTTTATTATTAACGATACCCAGCGAGCAAACAACAAAAACATGCCAACGTTCACATACACGTACATATAGATGTATATATGAAAAGGCTCATAAAATTCACAATGTCTGGCCGCAGGGCTTTTACTTAATGATGCCATTTTTGCCGCCGCTGCCTGAAATTCGCGTTAAATTTTTAACGCACGACCGAACTGCAGCGGCAGTGGCTGCGAACGCGACCACATATCAACCATATCAATTCGGGTATTCATCCATCCATCCATCCAGCCAGCCATTCATCCATATGTGGCACAACATTTACATTAACATTTGAATGGTAATCATTTTACAGCCAATGCGTTCCATAATGAAGTGTTTGCATAGCGATTTTTAAAGTGCACTACTCTGTGAAAATCCTTAAAGTTTCAATTTACCAAAGGGATATGCTAATCAAATTACCCATTAATTGCACAAATTGAGCCACAATATGCCACCAAAAACGTATGGAGACTTCGTGAAATGATCTTACATGTGTTTACTCTTCCTATCGGCAAAAAAAACTTCTTTAACTTCTTTATGGAAACAAGTAAGTAAGCATTTCAAGCATTTAGCTATTTAACGAATTCGAAATGACATTTATATTTATATATATATTTAAGTGTTTGGATTAGTTTCCAAATAATATAAGATATATTTTTTTAAATCAAAAAAAAAAAAAATATTCAAGGCACACACAAAGAAGCATAGGTTTGCAATCTATATTTATATATATAATAAAATACTCAAATAAAAAGGATAACTAAAATACCACCAATACTAACAACAAGTTAAATAGAAATTCAACTTAAAATTGTTTAGCTTATCGTCATTTAATGTGTAATTCAATTAAATAAAGTTTATATTAATGATGCCTTTTGATTTGATTGAAACTAAAATTTATTTTGCTGGATTGTACTCAAAGATTATGGCCAAGTTACATGTCTTAAGCGTATTTAAATACGCATTCCGTTTGTGAAAGCTTGACTCTCACTTGCAAGCCATTTGATATTTGATGAATGCATTTTAATTGTGGGCACTTATGTTGAAAGTGAGGAGGTGAGGTGGTGCGGGGTGGGTTCAGGAGTCGATTGCCGACATCCTTTTGTCATTAGCAATGCGTGACATTTGTCATTAACTGCATAATGATTCCCATGCAGTTTGGCCAACTTCTCCGACCAAGCACACACACACACACACGCGATTAATAAGTGTGTGCGGATGTGAGGCGTCTGTGTGTGTGTGCATAATTTTAATGATTTACAAACTAGCCCGCCGGCGTTTTAAGCTCGAAAACTGACAGTTGATATCCAAAGACAAGCAGAATGAGGGAAATATAACGCAAAAGAAGATATAGCCGCGAGTTATGAATGGGAGAGGACCACTACCAGTACCAGTACCGGTACCAGTACCAGTTCTTTATTTCCAGCTTTTTGGGGTGGAACGGAACGAGCGAGAACGGAAAGGATTGCTCGAACATGCAACTAAGATGGCCCGGGGCAATGCAGAGGCACAGCCAGAAACTGGGCAAAAATGTGCAAGTTAAAAATAAGTTAAGTTTGAGTGGCTGGCGGCCCTGTGCGTTTTGCATATAATGAGGGTCCCATGGCCCGTTTTTTGGACCCGCCCCGATGCCGCTTGTCACCTGCCGGACGTCGTTTTTGCGACAAAAACTGTGATTCTGTGATTATTCTGTGTGTGACTCTGTGGCCGGCCAGTTGGTAATTATAGGCAGCCGGCACTCGATGTTGTTCTTAAATTATATGCCACTCTTTTGTTATCCTTTGCAGCAGCTGTCACCCTGCCAAGGACCACCCCCCGCCCACTAATGTGAGCCGGCAGTTGTCCAAACACGTGCCGTGCAACAAGTTACCAGGGCAAGCAAACGCAAAAATGTGGCAATAGCAATGGCCAACTGTTACTGTTATTCACCTGCTACCGTTGCGTTTCGTTGTCACTGGCCTAAGCAAACACCCACAGCACAAACACACTGAGCCGCCGTTGAGAAAAGACTGTTTTGGGGTCTGTTGGGGCCTAAGCGCTATGCCGTCGAACATGTTGCGTGCAACATGTTGCATTGCCGCGGGCACGGTGGCGGCAGCAGCAACATCTGGCGCAGCAGCAACACGGGATGTTATCAGCCGCAACGTAAACACAACCACCACAACTAAGTATCCATATCCGCAGCAGGCAACTTCGATCGCCCGTCCAACCGTCTCCCCCTTCCACTCTAACCCCACCATGCACTGGGAAAAATTATATGATACATTTGATGAATTTAGACATCATTTTGGACCAATTCGATAGGTAAACATGGTTATATTTATGTAAATTCAATATCAACAGCCTAAATAATTTATTAAGTGGGATGGTCTCGAAGTCAGGCTTTATTTTCTAGCCTATTTAGCCATTTTAAGTATGCCAAAGCCATTTTATAAATAAACACCTAGCCTATTATACCTTTTTTAGGATAGTCCGTGCCATTTCAACTAAGTCAATACCATTTGAAGTAAATCAATGCCAGACCATATATCCAAATTTTATCTACACAAATTGCAGATATTGCTATTTTTCCAGTGTAGTTGTTAGCCAGGCTAAGCTCGCGATGCGATGCCAATGTTCGACGCTACAGCTCCAGCTCCGGCGTCGTTTCACCTTCCTCCTTGCCTTGCCCGCGGGCGTTCGCTTGTAATTATAATATTTCAACCCAAATGTGACCCGCGGCCATGCGCCAATGATGGATTTCAGCTCTGTGGACCGCTCCCCTGCCCCTTGAATATAATGTGGCATATATATATATACACCGAAGAAAGACCGATACCCGAGATACGACGGAGAGGTGCGCCGTTGTTCCGGGGTTGCTGATGTTGCTGCTGTTGCTGTTGTTGCTGTTGTTGCTGTTGCTGTGCAATTTGCTGCCTGAGGGCAAAGCGGATTGGCCTGCGGCCAGACATGTGAATAAAATTACATTCACTATTTTATATGCCACATCGCCGGTATGTATGGCATTTATCGGCGTTTATATGTTTTGCCGGTGCCATGTGGAAAAATCTTATGTAGGTAGAAATAATTGAATTGGCACATCAGCTAAATCACTTTTGTGTACTATATGTGCTGTGTATCTTTATGGGTATGCTCGAACTGGAACTGAATCTGAATCTGAAACTGAAACTGGAGACGGAGGCCAGGGCAATAACGAGATTAGATCACTGGAAGCAGGGACCGCCGCTGGCCATCCGGCAATGGAAAAGGGTAAAGCGAAAATGAAGCTGCCACTGACAATCCACAGAGCGAGGTCCGAACGGTTGGACCCCGTCCATTTCCAACTTTGCTCCCCCTCGCTGGTGTGTTTAAGTTTTCCTCGGAACACAGCCAGGTGAACATTAATCAAGCCAAATAACCAAATAACTTATGGGCCCGGCTAATAGAGACATTCGGCCAACAGAGCCAGAGACTTGTCGGCTAAAGCCATTTCTGAAACTGTAAACCAGTGCTCAGTTAGGTTAGATAAACAAGACATGTGGGAAGCAATTAGAGCTCTTAGCTGGTCATTATTTATTGTATTTCGATTTTATGCTTTGAAAAACATGCATTAACCGAAGAGCTTGTAGCTTAAATTCTTAAAATCGGAGAAAGTTAAATACCAAGGAAAATGACAATCTTCATTTTCAATTCATTTATGATTTGAAATACTAAAACAATGTCATTATTGTCACTTTTCCAATGAAGGTTTATGAATGAAGCTTCTGAAATAGCAACTGAAAGATTAATTTAACGACAATTTAATTAACTGAATAATAATGAAAATGATATTTCATTGAAATTGAACTTATCACAAGTTTACCAATTTAAGCAAGATATAAATGGCAACAACAAGGATCGATAAATTAATTTAAAAGTGGCGAGCAACCAATCCTCTCCTTTGAGTGATCATCAGAGTTAACCAATAAAAATTCATCAATTAATAAAGCTAAAGTTAACGCAAGTTAACCGCTATTTATGACTGAGCCAAGCCATTAAATTCACTTTCAAAGTGTGTGGAAATCCTTTGCCATTTACACGTGTGTGTGTTGTGGTGTGGTGTGGTAATTAAATTGGCATTAATTAAACTTACGCCGCTACTGACGACGGCGCTGCTCAAGTGCCGCTCATTAAGCAATTAAGGGATAATTATCAACGCCGCGCCGTTGCCTTTTTGCAATTTTCATGCGCAAAGTGTTAAAATCACTTAATAGGCGGCCACATCCTGGCCATCATGCTCTCGCTCTTGCTCTTGTTATTGTTGTTGTTGTTTCTTCCGCGGCCTGCTTGCAGGTGAGTGTGCGTGTGTGGAGTGTTCGTATACATATACGTGTGTAAGTGATGTTTGTGTACGCACGCGGCTGTTTGTTTAAGTGTAGCGTTAAACGCGGACACTGACAAGCAGGGAATGCCGCACACCTGTAAGCAATGCCGTTGCCCGGTTGTATGTGCAATGTTGAGCCAACAACAACAGTCGCAGCAGCAACAGCAGCAACAGCAACAGCAGCAACAGCAGCAACATCAGCAGTTACAACAGCAACATCATCATTAAGAGCAGCAACAACTAATAGGTTGCCCGATTCCGTGAAGCATAAGCTCGTATTAATGCAGTTATAAGTGAAATACTCACACCCACTCACACACACACGCACACCTGCACTCACACCTGTAAGCGAGGCACATACATACTGACACTTTGACTGACAACAAACCAAACAGGAGCAACAGCAGCAACATCACCAGTTAAGCGACCGCCAACAGCCAACTGGCGAGTCAGTCAGTCAGTAAAGCAATTTACAGACATCTGTTACACCTCACCCACCCATTTACCCGCCCATTTAACCACCCATCCATTCACCCTTTCACCCACTCACCCACACGCATATACAAACTGCAATCGAGCATTTAGGCAGAAGGGACAGGTGAAACGGGTGGGGGTTGGGTGAAAAAAGCGTGCGAAATTCATGGAAGCCCTACAATTGAACGGAAGCTGGGACCAGTCCGCGCAATTGAATCAGTTTCCCAGCAAATGGTGGGGCACGCGAGGAGTGGCAAATAGTTTGTAATTGCTTTGCTCACTTTTGAAATGGAAAAGGAAATGGTTAAGCGAACAACAATTAGTTTTAAAAATTAAGAGAAATCTAAGAGTCAACGATTTAGTTATAGTAAAATAAATGTATTTGTATTCAAACATGGCTCTTCTTAACTTAGTATGTACTTTTAAATTTCTTATTAAGAAGTGACCTTTTTTAAAGTTTGAGAAGAATTGTAAAAAGTTTAAATGAAATGTTCTAATCACGAACAGAAAATGGTATCATGAAGTCCAAAAACAGAATAATAACATTAATATTCATAGTGGAAATCTTTATGTTTTTAATATCCTATTAAATAAGCAATTGATAAAGAGTTGGTTACACTATTCCTGTTGGCGTTTTGTGTTGTCTGAACCATACCTTTATTTAAAATTTGTCTACTTCCCAATACATAACTGTGTAATTCGAAGTAAAACATTTTACTGATTGTTTAAAACATCTATCATTGTTCTATTCATACTGATAAGCGAACGAACTATTTAGGCCTCTGGTAGTTGAAACCAAGCTTATGTAGTAACCACTTTCATTGTTGGCCTTACCTGGCATGTGACCCTTGTCATCTCTGGGCCCCGGATCAGAGACACAGGCTTCTCCAGTCCAAGTCCAAGTCCCATTCCCATTCCAATTCGCATTCCCAAAACCCAATCCCCATCTCCAGCCCAATTTCGATCCCCCTCGAACACTTTCGCCTCGGAGCAAACACAAAAGGCCACATAAATTCCTGTTTCTGCTGTGGCCGGCGTTTTGTGGCTATGGCTACCCATGGCGTGAGATGCTGATCCGAGAGTCCGTATCCATATCCATCTCTCCAGCTCGGAGCCCCCAACTCCGGTCCATAAACGGATTGGCCCCGAGGTGTAAAACTTGCTGTTGCTGTTGCTGTTGCTGTTGCTGCTGCACACTTCTCAAAAATGCCTGTCAATGCGTGACATTTCATATTTAAGTTATAATCTGCATGCATTACTTTTGGGCTCAAAAAGAGTGGGGGGGTAGGTGTGGTGGTGGCCGGGGCATGTAGAAATTTAATGGCATGCTAAATTAACTGCAGGCTAATTTTCAATAAAACTGACAGCCGTATGTGTATGTGTGTGACGCGCCCTAAAGTTAATATGAAATGAATTGAAATGAAATGAGTGGAAATGAGATGAGACAAATAGAAATGCCAGTTTTAGAAATTAAACAAAAACTTAATAAATACCTGTAGGCCATTGAGTTGCAATTAATAACGGGGTGAGCCCCCAAACTTTTGGCGTAACCGGCCACCCAACCGCCCAACCGCTCAACCATCCAACCACCCACTCCTAACTGTTGCCGCATCGAACATGTTGGCAACATTGAAACCAGTTTTCAAGGCTTATCACAGCCAGCATCTAAATTATCAGGCAACGCGCTTTTGCCGGCAGGCTGCCATATAAACACAACGTTGCAACATGTTGCGACTGAAGAAGAACAAGAAGAGCGACAAGGAGAAGAAGAAGAAGGCGGGGGGTTGGGGTATCCGAATGCCCCAAGGGCAAAAACACCGAACCCACCGAAGTACAGGAACAAAGACAGAGATAGAAACAGAATCAGAGACAGAGACGGAGGTGGAGAGAGCGAGCGAGAGTTACGATTTGGACTGCCCTGATGCTTGGCTGATGTCGCTCCATCCCGTTCACCCCCCTCCCTTCCTCCACCTGGAAACCAGAGAACCCCTCCCCCTCCCCCCCCATCCACGCCTCTATTCCTGCTCCTCCTTGGCCGCAGGACATTCGCTTGTAATTATAATATTTCATCCCAAAAGTAGCTCCCAGGCATCAGTCAGTTTCGGTTTGCGGTAAGTGGGGGAGCTGGCTGCACAGGCAGCAGGGAAAGGTGGACGGAGGGTGCGGGGCCGGGGGCGGGGGC